AGAGGGGGCCCCACCCGGGCAGCCACCGCCGCGGTCCAGGCAGCCACCAAGGTACTGGGTGCTCTACATCCATGAGGATGCTTTGGGATCCTGGGAGGAAGCTGCTGCCCCAGCGTGGGTGGTGTGGGTGGCAGGAGCTGGGTCTCTGGGTGCAGAGCCCTGCCTGGGGAGATTGCATCACCTTGGCCACATTGGGGTGTCTGGACCTACATTTGGGGCTCATTTCCATCCTTTCTGTCCCCCCATCAGAGTCAGGGTGCATTGGTCGGGCGTCTCCGCAGCTTCAGCATGCAGGACCTGCGCTCCATCCCCGACGAGACCCCTGTGCACTACCGGGACCCCCTGTACCTGGAGGAGCAGGAGAGCCACCACCAGCAGCTGCTGGGTGAGATGGGAAAGGGGGATCACAGAGGTGGGCGGCTCAAGGGGGAACCGTGATGGGAACTATCATGTGCCTGCCATGTCCCCAGCCTACAGCAGCCCCTTGGCCAGCCGGGTGTATGAAAGTGAGACGGAGGACGAGGAGCTGTGGTCAGACTTGCAGGTCTCGCCGGTGCCATCACCCCGAAAACCCATCTCCCGCAGCCAGAGCCTGCGCACGGTAAAGAGGACAGCGTCGGCCAAAGAGGTAATGGGGAGCAGGGGGGTGACGTGTGGGGGTGTTTGGCTGGGGTGAGAGGGTCCTGACCCATCCGTCCCCCTGCCCAGGGCTCTTCCCGAATCCTGCGCAGCCGGATGAGGAAGAGAGCGGCTGTGCCGGAGCAGGACTGCTGATGGCCACGGAGAAACCCTTTGCCACGAGTCTTAACGCCCGTTCGCTGCTGCGGCACTGGGAGGGGGACACGGTTGTGCGTCCCCGCTCCTGGGGAGGGGGCTCCCTCCCAGTTACACTGTAAATGCCTCCTCTGACCTCTACACTGTGCACCCCCGGGCTGCACCCCCAAAATGCCCCGTTGGAGGTTGGCGCTGGCGCCTCTCCCATGGGGTCTGACCCCTTTTTCTCCCTCCACTATGAACACTATAGGCTCTTCTGGGCCCCTCTCCTGCTGCTACGATGCCTTAACCCCCCACACCCCCTTCCCTTTTTCTATCTGAAACCAAAGACACAGCCCTTGGCCAGGGCTCCCCCCTTCAGCTGCAGACTGACACCCCCATACTTGAAACGGGGGTGTCTGTGCCTGACCGTGCCTTGCCCGGCGTCACACAGTTTTTAATGTTTTCTTGTCTATGGAAAAATAAACGTTACGTCAGACTTTCAGAAACGGGAGTCGTCCCCTTTGCTTCAACGCCGTCCCCTGTGTGGGACCCTCTGGGGTGCACAGGGCTGTGGGAGGGAGCACTGGGGTGGGTGCTGGGGTCTGGGGCTGTACCTCACCCCCTCCTGGCAGTAACCGTGTCCCCATGGAGCACAAAGCAGGGTGGCACGAGGTGACAGCGCTGCTGGCCCCCAGGAGCCCTCCTGTCACCCCGTGCCCTGCTCTCTGCCATCAATCCCCTCGCTCCCAATCCTTCCTTGCCCTCACCCCTCAGGACACCTTTTATTTTTAACCCCTGGCTACTTTTCTGCCCTTTGGGGGGGGTCTTCCCAGGCCTCGCAGCCGTCCCTTCCCTGTACCTCCCCATGGCAGCGGGGTGGCCCGGGACAAGCAGGGGGTGTTGGAGCGGACAAACAGGGGGTGTTGGAGCGGCTTAAGTGCAGGTGGCTGGATTAGCCCCATAAAACTGTCTCAGAGACGATTACTTAAAGCAGCGAGGAAGGAAGGCAGGGTGGGGACAGCGCCAGGGCCAGGGGGCTGCCCGTAATC